GAAAAAAAAAAAAAAAAAAAAAGGACTGAGCGTCCACTTACGGTCTTCCCGCCAGAGCTTCTAGAAGAGAAGAGGCATGAGCCATAAGAACTATGTCTGCCCAGAGCGTCGACTTCAATAGTAAAGAACGAATGTGCGATCGGGGAACACAGGGAAACTACAAAACGCAGTTTGAAATCACACTTGGCGCATTCCCCCGTACACAACACACCCCCACGCAACCCTACCTGACCACAAAGCTACCGTCTTCACCCGAATAGAACGCCCGGTCATTATAGCTGCATTTGGCCCAGCTTTCAGTCCAGATGCAGCGATAATGACCGGGCGTTCGATTCGGGTGCAGACGGTAGCCTGTATTAATTGCCCAAACTGCTTGTTGACACTGTTTTTCCCACAAGTGTATTTTTCAAACTCTTTTTTTGACTCCCGCGTAGCTTCCCCCTTTTTCTTACTTTTTTCTTTTCTCCAGTCTATTGGTGGGAGCATCACCTGCTGAGACCGGGTCCAGCGTCCCTTGAACACTGTAGGACTACATCAATAACCGTAAGAACAGCCGTATTGATAGCCAGTGCACAAGGTTTCTTTTTCCCCTTTTGTCCCTGAGAGGATCGAACTCCCGCCCGTATAACCCACGGTACCTCGTCAAAAAATGGAAAACCGAAAGGGGAAATCCCCTTGACTTTGTTAGCACCCGTGAACAGAGTTTGGACCCGTCAGTTGTCTATGAGTCCTTGAGGTCGTGCATTTCTGTAAGAACTTGTTGGAAAAACAATGGAGAGAGAGAGAGAGAGAGAGGGAGAGAGAGAGAGAGAGAGAGAGAGAGGGTAGGACAAAAATGAGAGATTGGGAGAGAGGTGATTGAACTCCCGACGAGCCGGCAATTCAGCGAAAGCACAAGTTTTGATTATAGCCAGGGAGAGAAGAGACAACTCAGACAAGGTAGGATGATCGTCTCAAAAGGATTAAGCCTGAAAAAGGGACAGTATAACAGCAGAAGCTTGACGGAGACGAATGACTCACATCCGTCGTCAAATTCAGTCAAACTTGTAGAGCAAAGGAGAGCGGCCTGACACCTGTGGCTGGTGAGATTGCCAAGCATTAGCGTAGACAGCTGGTCTTTGTTTGTGGGTAAGACAGAAGAACTAGAGATTCAGATGGTGTGAGCCTGTGACGCGAGAGGAAGGTAGCCGCTTAAGTACTTGCACAGGTAGTGGCACAAGCGAGAGAGAGAGAGAGAGAGAGAGAGAGAGAGA